CATAAAACTCATTGAACCGGTCTTAAACCATTGAATCGCCTTGAAATACATTGAACCAGCCATAAAAGTCAATAAACTGGACTTAGTACACTGAACTGGTTAGAATTTGTCCTGAACCGGCTATAATATGTTAAACCGATGGTTTTTTTTTATTTTTTCTTAATTTCTTTGACATTGGACTGGTTGTTCACTATGAATCAGCCGGTTTACCCTTGAATCGGCTGTATACCAAGTAGACAGTTTAATTACCTTCATACCCATACCTTGAATCGGCCAAGAACCGGTTCGGAAGTCCCTAAACTGGTTGGTTCTTTATTTCTGCAAAAAATTTCTAGTTTATGTTATTATATATATATATTTATATTAGTTATTGGGCTGGATCCATAATTCGAATTCGGTCCCATAACCCAGTCTGGGCCTGGCCCACTAGCCATGGCCCAGACATCCTATTTTTCTATCCGGCCCAAGTCACATAATGTAAAAACCCAGCTTGGAGCCCATTAAATCGGGCCAACCCGAATCCTTGCAGGTTGCATCTTCTCAACTCAAAAACGAACCAGATATCCGAACAATAAATTGAAAAAAAAAACTGGAAATTTACCACAAGTTTCTTGTAATTGGTCCTTCTACGAGGCTCGGAATGACTAGGCGAAGCAAATCGATGAATTAATCGACTTAAATTTGAAGCTTTAAGCTCCAAAAGCTTGGCTTTTGGCAGATGGACCGACCGGACTGGGATGCTAAAAAATTTCAGAACTTTTGCAACCTTTTTCTTTTCCAAAATTAACTTATGGCTTTTGTAGATTTCTACCAATCGACTGAATTTATAAAAAAAATTTAATCAAAACGGTTGTGTAAATCACGAATTTGATAGTTTCCTTTTTCGTAATTTGGTGGATCCGAATGTTACAGATGTTCGGATCAAATTTTATATTTATTTTATTTTAACTGGGGTTTTACATATAACAACATCAAAAAACTTGGGAAAAAAAATTTTTTGTAAACTAGTCTAAGTTTTGTAAAACTAACGACAACTTTTTATTCTGGTATATTGCATAAATAGTCTAAATTTTGTAAAATTAAGTCTTGTTGTAATTTAATTTATAAAGTAAAAAAAAAATTAATAATATGTATTATCAATTATAATATATTAACTTAATTTTTTAAAATTTTAACAATTAACTGTTAAAATAATAATATTTAGAAAAATGTAACACTTAAGATTGAATAATTCAAGAAATAAATATAATGGTTAGTTTAATGTTGTTAATTTTAATAGCATAAATGATATAATGGATAGTTTAGAGGAATAAGCAAAATACAGAAAAAAATTAAAATGGGCAAAATATTTTTGTCCCAGCATTCGTATAAGGTGTTATTTGTGCAACGCTCATGAATGTTTTACAATTATTTCTTTCTGTTTAATAGTTTATTTTCCTGGTCAAAAGATGTTATTTTTCTGACATGCCAAACAGGCTTTTTAGACCGTTGACATTTTTCTAAGGACTGAAATTTCTAGTCCGGAAAACTGCGACCAATAAGAAATATCTTATTAATTAACCAATAAGCCGAACAAATCCGCCGAGTGCAGTAATTCCTACGTTGTATTTAAATATAGTTAAACATTAAAATATAAAATATTAAATACTCGATGAAATTTAAAAAAATTATCTAATTAATTTAAGAAAATAAAATTACAAGTCCTTTTAGTAAATATGTTTTTTTTAGTTTTTTATTTTTTAAAATTTTGATTTTAAACTTGATTTTTAATTTTTTGCATGGATAAGAAGTCTAAAAAATTTTACATGTCACAGATTAGTAACGTGTAAGTCTTAAACTTTTTGCCTTGACGAACTCAATTAAAACTTACTGGACAATATTTTTCACTAAAATATTAAATACTCAATTTACTTTAAATAAATTATCTAATTAATTTAAGAAAATAAATTACCAGCCCTTTCTGGTAAATATGGTTTTTAAATTTTTAGAATTTTAAGAATAATTTTAGTAATTTATTTAAAATTTTAAATAATCCAGATAATATACCAAACAATTTATTTGAAATTACATGGCAAAAATTTCTTGATAATTTAATTTATTTTGATCCATGAACGAAAAACTTAATTATGGATCTAATTTAAATAACTCCATAATAATATATGGATGGACCCAATTGGGTTGAATGGGTTAATTTTAATTAATTTAAAATATACTCTATTTATTTTAAAAAAACAAATTTATTAACAGCATTTCACGTGAACTTACGTGTAACAACCTGAGAGCTACTAACTCTAATAACTTGTTGAGTCTGAACTATTGACTTAAAATATTTAAACTCAAGTTGTTTAGTAGTAATTTTTAGTCTTTTATAAGTTCAACATTTTTTTCGTATTTTGTCAACGTGGGATTCGCATAATAGTATCACACATACACACCCCCCTTTTGGGATTCAATATTCTCGTTGGGATTTGTCCCACTATCGTTTTAGGTTACACGCGGAATAACTATGAAATTATTTATAATGACCTAAAAATTACTGATTTAATAACTTATTAAGTCTGAATCACTTATCTAAATATTTTAATTTAATTTATTTAATAATAATTTTTAATTTTTTATAAATCTAACATTTTTTCATATTTAGTCAACGAAAAATCCGTCTAAAATGTCACGTGAACACTCCTTTTAAATATCACATCACGTGTGGAAAAGACTTTCGCAAGTCTTCGGTTTGGTGCCATGTTTGGGTGGCACGCCTGCCAAGGAGGACTCTTCCTGATTTCCTACTTTCTATTTCAAAACGAAAAGAACACGGCATGAGAAACAAAAGGTTGAGAAAACTTGCGATCCAAAATATTATTATTATTTTATAATTGTGTGATTGATACGGAAGCCTAGAAATGAACAAAAGTTGCGTTGCTAAAAAAAAAAAAAAAAACAGAGAGAGAGGGATAGAGAGATAGCGCTATATGTCTTACAGTCAATAAAAGTGGCTTTTTATTTTTACGGTTGTTTGTTATGTCCACTTAAGCTTCCAGCTTTTGGCTTTCTAAAAGCTTATTTCTTCCTTTCAAACAGATGAATGGCTTTGCGCTTTGGCCAATGTTAGGTTCATGGAGTCTTTTTGAATAAAAATTTTCAACTGTTTATAATTTTTGATTTGTTTTAAAAAATTGTCTTTCTTCTAATTTATTCTTTTAAAAAATATTTATATACATATAAAAAAATTTTAAATGAATATTTTTACATGTCACTTTTTCTGATAATATATATTTTTTGTTCTTACAATTACACATAATTTCATCTGTTTTATAATTTGAGATTAGTTATATTTAGAATATTGTGCCTACTTATATTTAAAAATGTGCTTTCACATATTTAAATTTGATTATCTTATATAAATATAAAAATATTTTATTTATTATATCATATTTATTGAGTTTTTAATGTATTCTATTTAAATATATACAGAACAATGTAATGTAAAAAAGTTCAGTGGACCAAAAATCAAAATAAGCAACTCTTTAAAATTTCGCAATTTTGGTTCTCCCAAAGGCTAAATTAAATTTTTTAACAACAATTAAGTTTCTATGTTCACATATTTTTATTTAAAGAAACGTAAAAAAAACATTGCCATCTTTTCAAATTTATTTGAATGACACTTAACTATATTTTCATTATAAAAAAATATTTTTCTCTTTTGACTAATAGTTGTTTAACAGTTTTGTTAAAAAAGAGGGAAAATAATCAAATTTCACACATTTTTGTTATTTATCTAATTAAAAATAAAAATATTATTTGATTCACTTATTTTTCTTTAAATTTATTATTTTTAGTTTTTTTAAAAAATCTAAATGTTTGATAATTTAATTTTATTATATTAAATAATTTCTTTTATTATAATTTTTTTATTTTAAATATTAACAAAAAATGGCTGAGTGTCATTTAAATTAAAAAAAAATACACACTGTCATTTAAACTTAAAAAAGTTAAATAAAATTAAAATTAATAAAATAAAAATTTTAAAAAAAGTAAACTTATATTATCAATAGGTTAGATTTTTATTTTAAATTTTAATGTAAAAATTTAAAATTTTTAAGTAAAATAAATAATATTTTAATTTTAATTAAATAAGTAATATCGATATGTGAAATTAAATTACACCCACTTTTTTTAAACAAAATTGTTAAAAAATTGTTGAAAAAAATATTTTTTTAAAATATAAATAGAGTTAAGTGTCATTTTAATAAATTTAAAAGAGAGAGCAAAAAATCTAAAAGAGAGAGGAAGGGGAGTGTTTTTCACTCTTAAAAAAATTCACCAACCAAATACTTATATGATACAATAATAGTTAAGTCACATATTAAAATATTGTATAATAACATATGAAAAATAAATAAATAATTATTATATTATTTTAGAATTAATTATAAACAATTTAGTTTTAAATTATTTTTATAAAATAATTATTATATTATTTAATAAAAGAAAAAAATAATTATATCCAAGGAAACAAGGTTAAAACCAGACAGTGACATGTTACATTTGTTTCCTTCAAAAGAATAAATAAACATAAGCCGATGCCGCATGTAATGTTCTCCCGCAGTTTCAACTGCACGTTCGTGCTAGTTACCTGGAAGCACGCCGACGCGATAACCGAATGTACCCCCTGAATAATTCTCTTCTCGATCGGGCAAGATTTCTCAATCATTGAATGCAGACGCGACTTTCTAGATCCATAAACCCTAACCACTGAGGACGAGAAAGTCATCTTGATTCTGCAATCGGGGAATAGTCGTCTTCTTGGGCTTCTAATTTTCAATTCACTGCAAAAACGCGGACATCGTCAGACGCGCTTGGTCTCTCATAAAAAGCTCCTCTTTCTCCACCCTCAATCCTCACTAACATCCGAATCTATTTCTTCCCTGTTCCTCTCTCTTTCTATCCCGATTGATCAGAATTTCGACACTCACCGGCAGTTAATTTGGAGAAGCCAATTAATGGACAAGCGCAGTCTAGCAAGGAGTAAAACCTCGTGTTCGTCTTCTTTCCGGCTTCGTTGCCCGAGTCTCAATGCCCTTCGTCTTCGACGAATTTTCGATCTCTTCGACAAAAACCACGACGGCGCCATCACTGTTGAAGAGATCAACCAGGCTCTCCAGGTCCTCGGCTTGGACGCTGATCTCTCCGAATTAGAGTCCATGGTTAAAGCCTTCCTTAAACCGGAGAAGATTGGGCTAGAATTCGACGATTTCGAAGCTCTTCACAGATCGTTGAACGACACATTCTTTGGATTTCAGGAGGAATCGTTAGCAGAGGAGGGAGGAAAAGAGAGCGAGAAGCAGGATGAGGCAGATCTGATGGAGGCGTTCAAAGTGTTCGACGAGAACGGCGACGGATTCATATCGGCGAGGGAGTTGCAAGTGGTGCTGGGAAAACTAGGGTTGGCAGAAGGCAGGGAGATGGACAGGGTGGAGCGGATGATCTCCTCCGTGGATCTCAACCAAGACGGTCGCGTTGATTTCTTTGAATTCAAGGACATGATGCGCAGCGTTGTGGTCAAAAGCTGTTAATTTGCATACATCTCTTCTTCTTTTCCATTATCATTCTCCTGTCTGGTCTTTCAATGACATGTTGATCTTTGAAAGTTCCTTCTGATTCTGCTGCTGCTTCCTCCATGTTCTGCTTGCTTCTTAGTCAATCAGAGATCTGCCATTGTATGCTGGTCCATTTTGATGGATCTCTTTTGCCATGGAACTCATAGTCGATTAGCAAGACGATGGGAAATTATCATTAACTAATAATTTCTTATTCAGCTCAATTAGCACAAACTTCTAATCACACACACACACACAATATCAAACGATTTAAAACATAAATTTTCTCAAATAAACAGATACGAATTTTAGTATTAAAATGTTTTGATAAAATATAATAATAGTTCCTCTTGAAATCTCTTCCTGTTTAGAGAGATAAGTGAAGGATATTAAAAACCATCATTACAAAAAAAAAAGAAATTCTTTGCATTTTCCTTTTTTATTTTTATTATAAAATAAAATATAAATAAACGAGGTAGAAGGAAATAATTATTTTTTATCTTTTTTTTTCCTTGCTGAATCACCAATTTAAACAGGCCAAGCAGATCATGGTTTCAAATTTCGGTGTAGTGGGTCCTCATTCAAAAGTCAGCCACCGCGGTTCTGAGTAGGATGTTAATTTGTGTTGATCAATCGTATATTATTTAATTTTGGGTTTATTTTAAAATATTTAAGACATTTTCAAAATTTTAAATAATTTATTTAAACAAAAAATTTAAATAAATTATATAAAATATGCAATAAAAAATACTTTTTATCAACGTCTGTATTATAATATTCTCCGTCGTTCAATAAATTGTTATATTTTTATTATCAACACATCGTCATTCATATTTCAAACATGCTTCGCTGAGGAAGTAATGGAGCGTCTCGAAGGAATTGGTAATTATAAATGTTTAATTATTTTTAAGTATCTTTGTGAAGAGAATATTTGTCACAACTTTAAGTAAATCTTACATCGATAAAATACAAGATTTATAAGTATACACACTTTAATCTATTATAGACGCACTTTAAAATTATAAGAGTCTTAGTTTAAAGTGGATAATATTTATCAATAAGTTAAACCATTATAAAATGGTATCAGAGTTACTCTACATATAATCATGGACTGTGATGGGACAAATCTTAACAAAAACATTGAATCTCAAAAAGGGATATATGTAACACGCTTAAATAAATTTCATATTGATAAAATGCAAGAGAAATGTTAAATTTATTAATATATATGCCTTATTCTTTGGTAGATGTATTTTAAAATCGTGAGAATTTTGGCTTAAAATAGACTATATTTACCAGTACGTTAAGTGGTTAAATATTGCAAAAAAAAAATTAAATTCTAGAATTACTAAATAAAATATACAAAACTTTCACCACCCATTTGAAAGATTCTAATTTTTTTTTAAAATACATTTTCAAAAGAAATAAAATAATAAGTAATTTCTAGATACAATTCTCTTTATATATATGTGTGTGCGTGTATATATATACATGTATGTATTTATAAGGATGAATTATTTACCTGGTGGACCAGAAATCAGGAAACCCAAGTCATAATTCCAGGACAAAATATGTTTATTTATTATTATTTCCTGCCCACATTCTCTTGGTCTACAGCTGAGCCAAAACTGACCCACGAGGATCCCTTACTAGATGTAGCGGTTTAACGTCGTGTGAATGCCTTTTTATTATATTTATTTATTATGATATTGAAAACCACCATTTTAAATTTAAATTGTTTAAAGGCTATCCCTCGTGTGATTAATTGTATTTATTTTTATACATTTGATTTTTATAATTTATATGGTTAATAATAATTAGATTTTGACTGATATGTAATATAATATTTTTTTCCTCAAAAACTAATAAAAAAGTCATAAGTTATAGCAAAATTAATATTAGACCATGTAGTCCACACAAGATATGAAGTAAAATAGAATGGTGGACACTCCGGTGCCTACCTCAAAAAGGGGTGTTTTAAACATTGCCCACGTGGACCAATTATTATTGGCCACGTGAACTACTTCAGGGACCAAATTATAAATATTTTTAGGGACCAAAGTAAATAAAAATACTTCGAGGGACCAAAGTGCAAATATGCACTGTTGGCCGCCTTCCTCCCTGCCGTTCGCAGCCGCCGTTCGCCGGCGAAGCTTCAAACCCTTGAGGGGCGGCGGATCTGCACGGCCACTGGTCCGGTTCCTACTCAGCAGATGGCCTGAGGGGCGGCGGATCTGCACGGCCACTGGTTCGTCGGCCATCTGCTTCCGAGACCCAGCTAGAGTGAATCGCCCGCGGCGGCGGCAAATCGGAGTCATTGTCCTCGATGGAGTCGTCTGCTTCCGAGACCTCTGCGACGACGCCGGTTCGACGGAGTCGTCGTCCTCGATGGAGTCGTCTGCTTCCGAGACCTCTGCGATGATGCCGGTTCGACGGAGTCGTCTGCTTCCGAGACCTCTGCGACGACGCCGGTTCGACGGAGTCATCGTCCTCGATCGCTGTCTCCACGGCGTTGAAGGAATGGATTTGCAGAATTTGCACTTTGGTCCTTCAAATTTGCATTCTGGTCCCTCAAAGTATTTACAGTTTACTCCCTGAGTAGTTTAATTAATCCACGTGGCTAACACTGATTTGTCCACGTGGGCATTGTTTCAAAACAATTCCTTCCGGTGTAGGTACCGTAGTCGCAGCCAAATAGAATTTGTATTATGCGCAAGATATCAAATGAGAAGAATTTAGATTAATAAATGATAGCTTTATAAATTGACAAATAGTAGTTTAACTTTACCTATACACACAAGCACGCACACGCACAGACGCACGCACATATATATAGAGAGAGAGGAATTTATTAACACTAGTGTAAATGTAAACTACTTATATCAAATCTTCACAAATGATTAAGTTAAGTTTAATAAATGATATTAAGTATAACTATCAAAATATTAATTAATTCTGGATTTGTCAGGACCTAGAAATTGGATTCGTAACTAATACTAAGATTATAATAAATTTTAACTCCGCAAGTCTAATAAATAACTCATAATTAATTAAATCAAAATTTTATATAAAAATTAGAAATTAAATTAAATTCAAATCTCAATTAAACTATCATTACATCAACAGAAAACTTGTTTGTAGTCAATGAAGTTAAATAAAAACCCAGTAATACAAAATCTAACAGAAAACTGAAATAACTAACTCCTTCGATCAAGAACGAATACAGTAGAGACAATGAACTCCTCTTAAACTGTAGAATCCGATGAAATATCGAACTCTAAAACTAAAAATAATAAGGAATAAATCAACATATACAATGAATAATAACATACATTTATGAGAATAAGGACACGTATAACAAATATATCGAAAAATTTTACAGAAAATAGATTTTAACAGCCATCCAGAATTTAGGGAGTTCATGATATAGAACGTAACAAAAATTAAAAAATAGAAATTAAGACAGTGACCACTTAATCTGTCGGTGTATGGATATATGGGTCTCCCATGTTGACCGAATATTGTAAAGCCCAGGAAAAAAAAAAGATCCTAATGTTACAGAGATCCGAACGTCTATCACATTCGGATCAGCCGTTTAAAGAATTGATTTAGCCAATTAAATGAAAAAATTAACCCTTAAGGCTGTTATAAACAAGACCGATCGAACCTTGAGAACAAGAAATTCCATACAATTTTAGAAAAATTCCTGTTAATTGTTTGTTCTTCGTTCTGGAAAGCTGTCTGCTACACCGATTGATTTTCGAGTGGAAGATCAGGAATTGGAGGCTTGTGGGCTCGATTAAAGCAAATGTGGATCTCACTTGGCCATTCCGATTCGGGTGAACGCTTTCATCTCAAATTTTGGTTGGAATTTTAGGTAGATTCTTGAATTTGTGCATTCGGTTGTTCTGCAAATAAATGGGACAAGAAGAATTGACCCGATTTCTTCCGGGTCAGGGCTGGTTAGTGGGCTCCGACTGTTGTTGGGTATATGAATTGGGCTAGCCCAGACGGTTTGGGCCGGACAAAAGATTACTAGGCCTGGACCATGGCCAGTGGGCCAGGTCCAGACCAATGAATAGGGTGGGTCACGGGATTGGGTCCAAATTTTGGATCTGGCCCAAGAAAATAATTAAATAAAGAAAATAACATAAATAAAAAAAAATTGCTAGAAAATAAGGAAATGGCCGGTTCAAGCCCTTCTAGACCGGTTCTTGACCAGTTCAAGGTATCAAAACAAAGGAAATTAAATTGTCTATTTGGTTTGTGGTTGGTTCAAGAGTTAACCGGCCAGTCCAATGTTAAAGAAATTAATACAAAAATTAGAAATTCATCGCTTCAACATATTTATAGTCGGTTCAGGGCAAAAACTAACCAGTTTAGTGGTTCTAAGTCCAGTTCATTGACTTTTATGGCTAGTTCAATGTATTTCAAGGCTGGTTCAATGGGTATAAGACCGGTTCAATAGGTTTTATGGCCAATTTAAGGGATTTAAGGCCAGTTTAATGATTTTTGAGACTGGTTTAATGGATTTGTGTCCCGGTTCAGTGGTTTTGTCCTTGGTTCAGTGAGTTTTATGTTCGGTTCAATATATAGGAGGTCCAGTTTAGTATTATGTTTGATCGGTTTGAGATTTTAAAATTCCCGAAATGGCTTGAAACATGGAAACTAAGGATATAGTTGGGTTTTAGGAGGAATTTAGTCTTTAATTAACTTTGAGACATATTATGTTCTAAAATGAGTATTTTTATTATTTCTAGATTAATTGGTTGACTTTCGAGGAGCCAAACTGTCAAAACTCGAGTTTAGTGATTCTCGGTTTCTGTGAGTAATAGTTTATATTTATATGTTTAAATGTTGTTATACTTGTTAAAATTCTAGTTTTTACATAAATTGAGAATTTATTTTAGTTATTATTCAGTTAAGTTCTAATTGCTATAAAAGTTACGAGGGACATATATGTCATTTTTTGATTT